CATTCACACAACAATCGTGAGGTGAACCTCGCTTCGCGTTGTAAAGTATATGCGTGGACACAGTCGGTTTTGCCCCCTCCCTACGGGGGGGCTCCACTTCCGAAAAATATAACCTAACTCAAACCTATTTCTGAAAATTTGATTTGAGTTATACAACGTCCTGATGCGGATGGACCTCGCTTCTTGCGTGGAAATTACAAACTCATGTAAAAATTACGTTTTATTTTTCAAACTTTATTTGTTAATAATTTTTTAATAAACAATGACCGCCGATTAAGTTATAAGGAAAAGTTACTCAGGATTATGTCCTTGACAACATATGTCAAGGTCAACGTCACTGGTGCTGGGTCCGTTATAGTAAATAATTACCTTCATTTGATTTACAGTTACCTAACCGATTAACAATAAAATATTTGGAAAAATTGTGTTAATAAAGATATTTTGCGGATAATACTTATCTTTTTTGCAATATTAAAGATCTGTGTCATTTTAGCTAATAAATTTAGTGTAGTGTTTAGTACTATACTTTTAAACGTCTTAAATTATATATATATTATGTAAATAGATATGTATAAGACAATAGATAAGTGTCATACAAGAGACAAGATTGTCGCGGTATTGACATTGACGTGCTGTCCGAGCCAATCTTTAAAAGCGGATACTCTTGTGTATACATCCGGAAAACCAACTGCGCATGGAACAACAAATGAGGCAATACCAATCTGAATACCATTGGCAACGAGTGGACTACCGGAATCACCCTAAAAATAACAATACTATCATAAAATTTAAGAAAATCGTGATAAAATTTTTAAGCTCTGTCAAGACAAGGAAGTAAAAGAAATAGAGTAGATTAGTTAAATTACAATTAATTTTAATTTTAATTGTAATTGAGTGCCTTGAATTAATTGAGTTTTAGAGCCTCATAGAACTATTAGCTATTATATTAGCTATTATTCAACTGTACGTGCTTAATAAATTAAAGATTAATTAATTATTTGTTTAATCAAAATTATATTGATAAATACTCACATGACATGCTCCCTGACCATTTTTTGAAAATGCGCAAATGTGACTATCCTGTATATCCTCGTATAAAATTTTGCAGTCTGTTTGTGAGAAAACTTTCAAATCGAGTTTTTGAAGCTTGTCAGGTATTTTGCCTGATTTCTAAAAATAATAGAAGAAGTATAAAATGTGCATAAAAAAGATTATTATCTAAAGATAAACGATGAAAGATATACATGTAAATTGATATAAAATAAATAAAGGAAAATATGAGTGATTGATTATTCCTTTCATGATAATGTTTATTTAATTCGTCGTTTCTTACCTTGAGTCTACCCCATCCGATCAAGAAGCAGAATTCGCCAACTAGAGTGGAATTAGTGGTTGCGATAGGAATCGATTGCACCACATCTTTGAATACTATGTCTGTTTTCAGATGAAATAAGCCGATATCATTACGGATTAAATCAGGATCGTAATCAGGATGGATAATGACTTTCTTAACATTGTAGACATCACCAGTTTTCGTTAAGAAGTTCGTACCAGCATGAACTGTTACGTTTTTGAGAACTTTAGGATCAGAAAACCTAGATTATATATATATAAATTAATTAAATTATAGATATCTAGTTGCTTGAATAAATAAATTCAATAGATTATAATATTGTAATAGATATTAAAAGTAAAGAAGTCAAGAAACAGTAGAAAATCAAAATATTCAAATATCGAAAAATTAAGATATCCATTCAAGTATGAGAATAGCCAAATATTAAATACCGATAGATAAACAAATTTTTTTTGTTTTTTTGTGTGAGGTAAGAACGTGATACTTACGTCGTAAGACAATGAGCTGCGGTGAGAATGTGACGTTTAGCAATAATAGATCCACCGCAGAAATGATTATTGTTAAGTCTCAGAGATACCATGTAAGGATGTCCGCCGAGTAAAGCGTCTGTTCCGTTAACGATGTGAGGGCCTGGTAATTCTATTCAAATAAAAAGCAAAGGTAAGTATTACAAAAATATGCACTTAAAATATTTTAAATTTGCAGTGATAAAATACAAGATTAATAATCATGGATGATATTGGTACTAATTTTGCAGGTGTACCAATTTGTGTAAAAAAGATGTACCAATATATATATAACATTTATTTTGCAAATATATTACATATATCACGCGCAAATTGGTACATCTTTATTACACAATTAGGAATATATATATATTCCTAATTGTATATATTTTTTCCAATAGTAATTTATATTGAAAAAACTTTATCATACTAAAAAGAAGGGAATAAGGATCTGTTACTATCGGTTTTAAAGATTGTAGGTTGCAGAATTAGTACTAGTCTGATTTTAATAAGATACATTTTCGATGCTCAAAAATATATAAAAATGCATATCTCTCTACATTTTACACATCGCTATGAGAGACTATAAATTCATACATCACATATATATTTTTGTAACATTGAGCTCTGGATTACCCCCATTCCCCAATTTATTTAATTAATATTTATTATATATATTCTATTGAATATAAAAATATTTTATGAGGTCTGTTTTCACTTACCATGTCCGACCACAGCTGTATAAATGATCAAGAGACTAAAGAATGAATACATTGCGAAACAAATAAGCTACTATTCAAGACAAAACCACTTCATATATATATATACATATCTAACTGTAAGTGATGTCATATAAAGCCCGAATCACACTAGCGGCTCGCGGCTGCGATTGCGATTGCCTCAGCCAATCACAAACGCAATCGCAATCGCAGCCGCGAGCCGCTAGTGTGATTCGGGCTTAAGAACACATACATATATCATGTTATTAATAGATAAATTTGCAAGGCTCAGATAAATTTGATTAGACCAGAACCAATCACATGATTTTGATAACTGATAAATGTTATTGATTGAAAGTATAGAGCCAAACGTTTATTTATATAATTCAAGTAACAGTAAAATTATTTTTCTGTGGCTTTATGCGTTCTACTCTAAAATTTATATAAAAAATTTTAAATTTTATTAAAAATTATAAAACAAAATTCTTATTCTCTACGTTTTATTTTCCTTCATGATTAGAATTCTTTAAAAAATGCAAGAATATGCCCAATACTCTATACGAGAACTGTTTTAGAATAAAAATAATTTTTCAGAATCGACCAGCGTTATATAAATAATAAAATAATAAAAAGACTACAGAAATAATAAACAAACAATTAGAAAGGACACAAGAAACAATTAATGGATGTTCATCTAAAATAAAGTCAAATTTAAAACAAAAACACGCGACAAAATTTAATAAATTAAAGAACAAAAGACATTGCAAACAAATTAATAAATCATAAGTTATACAAATAAAAATTAAATTATGAAATAGAAAGCGCAGACGTTTCAGTCCCGAACTGGACTCTCTTCAGTGTTGAAAAAAATTAATTAAATTAAATAGCTAACGGTCAATGTGAATAAAAAATCGGAAACTGCAGTCAAAATGCGATTTGTTTAATATTTAAAAATATGCTTTGAAATCAATCAATAAACAAATTATTTAATACTATTATTTGTAATTTTCACTTATATTTTAGAGGAATTTTCTTATCAAGTTCGTCTCACAATTAGATACGCTTCTATATAATATTATATAGATTTGTAAATTCTGGCTTTTACAATAATAAACGGATAACACGAAATAAATTGTGAATAAAGAGGCAATAATCATTGTAAATGAAAACATTGTTTTCATTATACAAAAGACGTTTCGATAAAGACGTTTCGATAGATTTATTAATTACTTTTCGTGTATTACTTACATTGATAATTTATTTGATTGATGACAAAATGTAATACATTTCTTCAAAAATAATTTACACAAATTATATTTTAATTGAACTATGAATCATATACATAAATGGATTGGCATCTTAATAAACAAATTAAATAATTTCCTATAATTTCATCTTCCCAATAATCCAAGAAGTAAAACTGCTCACTCTCGTGTATACATCTGGATATCCAACTGCGCAAGGGCGACCGAAAGAAACAATTCCAATTTGACTTCCATTGGCTACTAAAGGACCACCGGAATCACCCTGGAATGACGTTCCAATTAATGAGACATAAATATTACAATTATTTATTATTATAAATTGTGATAAATTATTATTATTAAAATAAGCATTCATTTGATACGTGATAAGAGATTTAATATTAAATTTTTTTTTGTAAAAAGATATATGTATTGTCATTTTTTATGTCAACAATATAACGACTTACATGGCACGCTCCTTGTCCTGCTTGAGTAAGAGTGCAAATATGGCTATTTATCACATTCGAGTGTACGGACTTACATAGTTGTTGAGGATAAACTTTTAAATCAATTTCTTGCAAACTGTTTGGGGGATTGCCACCCAGCTAAAAGGATAAATGCATTGTTATTTGTCAAAAATAATGTTGAAAAAGAAAAATAACGAATAATTTATGATAATAATTTTATCTCATAACTTGTTACATGCAAAAAAAAAATTTTTTTTCTCATATCTTTTAAAAATACTGACTTTTCCTAACACAATCAATCCCACCGTGACCGAAAGAGGGAATATTATATCGGGTGGTCGTGTAATTTCGTAGCCGCGAGCGACTCCCGGTTCGCGCGCGCACCCCAAGCGCTGCTGTTTTCGTTTCATTATACCATGCTTCACCGGGTTATCATCATACTAATTATCCGTTCAAAGGGACACGGCTCCCCTCTTGCTCCCCGTTGAATCCGCGTAATTGGCCGAGAATCTTTTATCAGGCTATCTCAATTTTTCCGACGAGATCAAAAGCGACGACAGCCGTAAGCGTACAATTGTAATACATAAAAAATTCTAATTATCGACACAAAGTTTCGATGTGAGAATCGCATTTCGTCTTTTATACGTTATATCGCAATCGTCGATTGATCGCGTTGCCGCTAATAATAAATAAATTCTTTGTGCAATTTTGGATATGTATTATTATAACAGCTGTTAGCAAAACACATATAGATAGAATACGCGACGAGCGATGTTATCTCTAAACAGACGGACGTATTTATAACGAGAATAACGCGGACCGTGTGTTTATCGTCGCAGAGCGGATCATTTATTACGAATGCGAAATACAATAGAGTTTTGCAGAAGTACGCCGGAAACGAGGCGCGATACAAATTTAATGCCGGCGAGCGGGTTTACATTCGGACTACGTACCTTCAACGGACATTGAATTCTGTAAATTCATTCTGCAACGCCGGATGTATGTATTTGAATATAATATTAATCTTCAAAACGCGCGTAAAACGCGTCCCGTCGATTCATTACTGACTTTTCCTTATATATATATATATATATATATGCATATAGCGAGTCTTTTTGGAAATATCCTATGAGTTTAATATTACCTTAGTAGTTCCCCATCCGGATAACGTACAAGGCTTGCCTTCAAGATTTGCATCAGTTGTTGCAAGCTTTATGGGCTGCACTACTGTATTGTATTTGATAGGACTTGCAAGATGAACTAGAGCGATGTCATTAATGAGCAATGCTCTGTTATAATTTTCATTAATAGTAACATTCGCTACTCCATACTTATTTCCTGTTTGGTTCAAATAATTTGTGCCGGCGTGAACCGATAAATAATTTAATAGATTTTCAGTTCTAATAATGAGAAAAAGTATAAGTCTATGATAATCAAAATTAAATAATATTATGCTTAACTAATATTAAATTGTATTAATAAAAAGAATCTAATAGAACTTGTGATTAACATTAAATTATTAGCATCGAGATAATGTATCAAAAGAAATACAATATCGTTCAGTATATACGTATAGGAAAAGAATAAAATACGTCATATATATATAAAAAAGATCAATATATATAGAAAAAAAAAAATGTCATTTATATAAAATACGTCTTATTATATATTATAATAATTTTCCAGATGCAATAATTCTAGAATCTCTCTCATTACTTTTATCATATGAACCATATATAATATAGTTATTTTATTTTAAATAATTTAAAATAGCGTATTTTTTATATATATTTATTTTGCGTAATTATTTTTAGATTGATTAAAAACATTTTAAATTTATTTCTATAATTTTTATCAAAACCAGCATGATTTAAAAGAATTACAATTTTTGTATACCAAAACGATTTTGTATTTAATAGTTCATTATTTCGTATGTCCCAAATATATCTGACATATTAAGAAGTTAATTGAGAATTATATATCAGTAATAAATAATATATTCAAATACCCTTCGACACAATGTGCTGCAGTGAGAATAGTACGAGTATTTATGATAGAACCACCGCATGTGTGTGAATCGAGAAATCTCAATGATATTTGATATGGATATTTGCCGACAGGAGCATCCTTGCCTCCAACGATACGAGGAGATGGGGCTCCTTTTGACAAAAATAAATTAATTAGATTTTAATATCACGAAAAACATACAGTATGCATATTACTATAAATGTACACTTTTAATAATAACATCAAGTTAATGATATCACATCAAGTTAACAATATCTAGAAATTATACATCCACATGTTTGGCAAAATTAGATTTATTGATAAATTTAAAATCGAATTTTTATTTTCTTATTGTTAGTAATAATTCTATTAATCGCATTAATTTTCAATAATTATTTATGGATTAATATACCTTGTACGGCGTATGCCAGAGCGACGAATAGAAGACAAATGAATGCATGCATCTTTGATTATAGATTTATTGACACTGGCTGAAGCGAAGATGCATTCATAGGTTTATATATGTTCCTAAAGTACGTAGCAAAGATATGTGAATCACGTGTTTCTGACGTTTCTCAACTTACCTCATCACGGTATCGGATATGATAAAATAAACTCAATATTGTTATTTATGGTTCATACACTTCAAACCTATATAAATTGAGATAAAGGTCTTAGAGAGCTTTAATTAAATTTACATTTATCATTATTATCGTTTTTTTTAAAGAATCGGAAATTACGTTCGTTATCTAAAGAGTACATAGGCATACAGTTCATTTATCGATTATTATATCTAGAAAATTGACTTATATGTAACATCAATAGAGAGATAATGTCATGTTCTACAATTCATTGCAGTTTTAACATTATAACGTGAACAGAGTTAAGTCAAATAACAAATTTGGTAAATAACAAATAACGAAGAAATAACTAAGAAATAAAATTTTATTCATCAATAGAAAAATAAATAAAATAAGTAAGTTAATAAATATGTAAGTAAATAAGTAAATAAATAAATAAGTAAATGAATAAATAAA